CGCGCTGAGCAGCGCTGTGCTCCACAAGGCTTCGTCTTGTGGGCTAGACCACCCCTAGGGGTACAGCCCATGTAGTCTACCATGGGTATCCAGGGTCGTACCCCCCACAGGGGTCAAAGGGCTTCCTCATAGGCCGGTCGGCCTAGGGGTTGGGCCAGCCGGCCCACTTCCGGCACCGTTTGCCTCCATCTTTGGTGGTTCGCCTTCTAGAGTGTTCTAGAGTCTTCCCAAGTTGGTGCCGTCATGGATAAACATGATTTACTTTGACGAATAGGTCCCCCTTGATGGTTTTCCAACAGTCGCATATTCACCAAAACTCGTAGAATTTATTAGTTTAAACCCCTATTCCTATGTTTGGTGATAGAATTAAGTATATATGCAGGTTATACTGATGGTTTATAATTGATGTTAACGACCGTTAACAGTGTAGTCGGAGTTATTGTGATATTTATGCATATGTTCATAGAGCGCTCATCCTTAAGTTCGAACGGGGTGAGTGGTCGACATTGTGTAAGCGTGGTGCTTATACCGTGTTTACCTATGAATGCACCCTACATTTTGGATCGTGTGGTAGATCGCGGGGGTGACAGCCCCATTGAATCCTCTATAATCCACCTCCCATTTGTAGGACTAGTAGGATGCAGTTGCGATGGAAGTAGTCAAGCTCTGTTCTTGCTCTTCATTAGTAATGTCCCTTATGCATAGATGTAAGATAATCTTTTGCTATATTAAGTATGTATTGCACATCAATGTATGCTTTGACTTGTAGCTATACAATAACTTAGGAGTTAACCTCTCTTGTATCTACTTAGTCTTGCTATTGCTATCTTATGGAGTACTCTGAGTGTTACATTTATCATTCATATATTATTCTATCTCTTGGTTTACCCCTGTTTAGAGTAAGAGTGTTGGCTTATTGATCCATCATAAGTACAAGTTATCAATACCAGTTACAAGTTATCAATGCCAGTTATCAGTTATCAATATTAGTTTCCATTCAATACTCATCATCAATACTATTGATATCAATACATTAGCTAGACCTTCCATGTGGTAAAATATAAATAATGATACCTGGAATACTCCCGGGTGAAGTGCTACAATGGTATATCTGTGCACTTGTAGATTTTATATTTTTGTATTATTTCTAAGTCACATTCATACCATAAGCATTTCTGGTGCCATTGCTAGGAGTAGACTTAAAACTCCATTCTTAGTAACGATGCTAAGAAATGTCAACACTCCCCAAGCTCAAGTGGTGTTAATAAGCTTTTTATGAGCAATGGTCAGTCCGCAATCCTAATTCCTCACCTTAATCAAGAAATTGAAGGCCTGCTTGGTTCATTTGCTGGGTACTGTTCGACCTTGCTGGGGTAGGATATTGAACAACATTGCTTGTTTGGTTGTGTTGCCTAACTTACTTGGAGCTTGTGCATGCAAGCTTTGCCTTGATAGCCTGAGAGAGCCAAATTGGCTCTTCTGGCTGGGCAAGGTTCCTGTGCTCCACGCAAGCCAGGCAAGGCTAGGTTAGGTGAGCAACCTAGTGAAACCAAGCATGCTCTCATTCTCTTGATGTTCCCTCAGACCATTCTGAAATGCCCCCAAACTGTTTCCAAAATCTTGTTAGACTTTGGTTGACCAGTCAACATGACAGAGTTGAAGATTGGATCCTATTCGGTTATGATACAGGTTTCCTAACCGGTTACAAGGAAATCCGTTTGATCCTATTCGGTTATGATTCAGGAAATCTATTTGATAGAATCGGTTATTTTAGGTACATCTTGCTTCCCAAGTCGATGATGCACCCCATCTAGGTTGGGCCTTACATTCAGCTACCTCAGCCCACCCTGTCTCTAGTGGGTTTTCTATAGGCGATGAGGTACCCTGAGTTCATATAATCGATAAGAGGTATCTCCCATTGTCATACTAGGTGCAATGTTTTTGTTGTTATTGAGGAAAACTTTTCTGATGCTTATAGTTGCAACTCATGAAAAGCTTCAAGTGTAGTACTTCATTTGCTCTCTTAGATATACCCCCTCCGTTTGAAAATAAATGTGAAGGGACTGTGACGTCTAAAAGGGGTTGGGGTGAATTAGGCAACTTAAAAACTACTTCTAAAGCTATGGCCTCTAATTTCCACCCAGCCAAAACATATGCAATAAAACAATATATCCAGATGTGCAACTAATGTTTTGTTAGGTGTGTTCCTATGTCTATCGCAAAAGACTTATGCAACCAAAGTTCCAATCCTATCAACTTGCCTAGCAAGCTAAACTAGAATGTAAGCACACAATCGAAGTACACAATATAAATTATTCGCAAAAAAAAGAAGTACACAATATAAATGCGGAAGCTTAATTAAGATAGAGATGCAAACTCACGTCGACGACTTCGGTATTTTTTATCGAGATATCAAGAAGCTTACGCTTCCCCTAGTACTCGTTGGAGCCCCTCGCAAGGATGCCCTCTCAAGGGCCAAGTTCCTGGTCAGGTAACTCCGTGGATATCCCTCGGGCCTAACTATCCTAAGCATATGCCTAAGCACTTTGCAAAGCACCTACGCTAATCACCCGAGTGAAACACTAAGCACTTTTGTGGCTAGAGCAACTAGAGATGAGCCTCAACTCTTACAACACTTCCTTGAGCTCCATACACCTCAAAATGGCTAGCCAAGGGGGTATATATAGCCCCCAACTCCAAATCTAGCTGTTGTAACCTCTTGTAGCTTTTTGCGCAGTCACCGGATAGGTCCAGTGACGTCCACGCCAGCTAGCCATTGACTTCTAGTGCTACGTCCGGTGCACACCAGACCGGTCAGATGCCTTGTCGCCGTCTCCAATTTTCGCTACAACATCTCTGGAACTCCACTCTAGAGCATAGGTCCGGTGTGTCACCGGACAAGTCTGCTAAGCGCTTGGAGTCCTCTTGTGCACACCAAGCAGTCTGATGTATTCCAGCACCTTGCCCCGGACATGTTCGGTGCTGCTGTTGTAGCCACCCGCTGGACAGAGCATAGTGTTGTTCGGCGCCTTACTGGCACTGACCGGACAGATCCGGTGCTGTTGTGCAGCAAACCACTCACTCCGTTTATTCGCGGGTCTTTATCTGGCCTTCTTTTATCTTGTGTTTGGACTTCTTGCATGTCTTGTGGATCTTTAACATGGCTTCTAATGTCTTGTTTGAGGTGTTAATTATCCGGATCATCACTTTATCTAAGTCCAAGCCCACCATGCATCTATTTGAACTATACCTTATATACTAACAAACATTGTTAGTTCAAATGGTCATGTTGATCATCAAACATCAAAATCCACCCGAGTGAAACACTAAGCACTTTTGTGGCTAGAGCAACTAGAGATGAGCCTCAACTCTTACAACACTTCCTTGAGCTCCATACACCTCAAAATGGCTAGCCAAGGGGGTATATATAGCCCCCAACTCCAAATCTAGCTGTTGTAACCTCTTGTAGCTTTTTGCGCAGTCACCGGATAGGTCCAGTGACGTCCACGCCAGCTAGCCGTTGCCTTCCAGTGCTACGTCCGGTGCACACCAGACCGGTCAGATGCCTTGTCGCCGTCTCCAATCTTCGCTGCAACGTCTCTGGAACTCCACTCTAGAGCATAGGTCCGGTGTGTCACCGGACAAGTCTGCTGAGCGCTTGGAGTCCTCCTCGTGTGCGCACCAAGCAGTCCGATGTGTTCCAGCACCTTGCCCCGGACATGTTCGGTGCTACTATTGTAGCCGCCCGCTGGACAGAGCACAGTGTTGTTCGGCGCCTTACTGGCACTGACCGGACAGATCCGGTGCTGCTGTGCAGCAGCCCACTCACTCCGTTTATTCGCGGGTCTTTATCTGGCCTTCTTTTATCTTATATCTGGACTTCTTGCATGTCTTGTGGATCTTTAACATGGCTTCTAATGTCTTGTTTGAGGTGTCAATTATTCGGATCATCACTTTATCTAAGTCCAAGTCCACCATGCATCTATTTGAACTATACCTTATATACTAACAAACATTGTTAGTTCAAATGGTCATGTTGATCATCAAACATCAAAATTCAAACTCAATTGCCCCTGGGGTATATTTTTCTTATAAAATGCATATCTCACTTATCGAGGAGTCAAACATTTTTAAGTTTGATCAAATATATAGCCAAAAGTACTAATATTTAAGTGTGTAGATCTTGGAACGTGTCTTTGTAATAAATTTATTTGGAGATTTAAATATTGATGCTCCCTCCGTTACCTCGTATAATTTGGAACGTGGGGACTACTATTTACTATATAACAAATCAAACTTCAAAGAATTTGACTATTGAATGTAACAAGTGTTTATGTTGGGACGGAGGATGACGTTACAGATTAATTAGTTTTAAATTGAACCAATATAATATTATAACATGTTTGAAACGAAGGAACGAGAAGGCATTAGGTTCTGCAACTTGTGCTATGTTAGTATAAAAAATTGTAGGTTGGCCGGCCGTCGCCTCGTCGGAGATCAGGGCAGACTAGGAAATCCATATCCCTGGGACCCGTATCAATGCAAAGGTGAGCACTTTATCTAGACGGTAGGTATGGTGTCGATGAAGAGGCGCGATGACTCTGGTCGATCCGCGCGTAGGCAGTGACGGCAGTCCCGACCCAGGTGGCAGCTTGAAAGCGAGACGTGTCGGTAAGTGGACGGCCCTGCGGCAGCGCACTTAAGGGCGTGTTTGGATCGAGCCCTCGCAGGCAGTCCTGTCTCAGGCGTGGGAAATCGGACGCAGGACTGACGCGCGCTCCAGGCAAGTCTGACCAGTCTGAAACCAAACAAGTTATAGCCTGGCCCTGCTCAGTAGCCTCACACGCAGACTTCACTCCGGCGACACTCTGCTCTGCTCTGCCGGGGAGACGAAGCTAGCCGATCAGGAGAAGCAGCAAGCAAGCAAGCAGCGCGCGGGTTGTCGGACATACGCCTCCGGCGATGGTTCTTGTAATGGAGCTGAGACCGCGTGGCTATGGATGTTGCTCGCGCGTGCTCTCGGTTTCTCTGCTGCTCCTCCTTGCTACCCTGCTGTGGAAGCACGTCTCTCGGCGGCGGCGGCGGCGATTACCAGGGGTGATTTCCCGGAGGGCTTCGTCTTCGGCGCCGGCACATCGGCTTACCAGGTAGGAGTAGGAGTACTGCTCTTAGTTCCTGGCAATGGGAAGCGAATGAGAGTGACGGAGGTGGTGTTGAAATCAGTCTTGTTCGTGCAGGTTGAAGGCGCATGGGCAGAGGACGGGAAGAAGCCCAGCATCTGGGACACATACACGCGCAGTGGTTAGCTAGCTAGTAGCTACCATTCTCTTTCTATATCTACTTGTATATGGTTTGGACATCGGACAAACCCAAGTATGAATTGGCTCTCTCAACTTCCCGTTTTGTGCTTTGCACTGTGTAGGCTATTCGATTGACCATGCGACTGGAGATGTGGCTGCGGATCAGTATCACCATTACAAGGTCTGGCCGGCGTCTCCTTTCCTTTTTAATTTCCATTTCCAGGACCAACCCTGATACAACAAATAACTGATGCAAAGCATTCATATATGTAATTTCAGGAAGATGTGAAGCTAATGCATGACATGGGGTTGGACGCGTACAGGTTCTCAATTGCCTGGTCAAGGCTTATTCCAGGTACGGTGCTACAAGTAGTGCCACACACAGGAGAGGGGAGGGGAGGGGACATGATCTTTTTTTCTGTTTGTCACTGTACTTAGCCATCGTATCGTTTTTCGCATGTGTAGATGGGCGGGGTGCTGTGAACCCAAAGGGGTTGGAGTACTACAACAGCCTCATACACGAACTCCTCAGATATGGTCATTTGCTACCTCGTTGCATCATCGATCTAGGCTCTCCGTTTCATTCATATCATACAGAATCTTCATTTCCTGTACTACTTCGTCAGTAACGCCACACAGCACCTGATTCTGAATGGTTTCCGGCTGGGCGTGTATCTACACGTATCGCTATCGCAGGAATACAGCCTCACGTGACCATCTATCACTTCGACCTCCCCCAGGCTCTTCAGGATGAATACAACGGCCTGCTGAGTCCTAGAATCATGTACACTCTTATATATATACTCCTTCAAACTTCAATTTTCCACTGCTGACGAACCTCTGTTAGTTGCATACTTGCATTGCATTGTATGGAGCTGCTGATTCGCTACTAGTAGCATTTTTTTTTAGCCTGAGATGGAACTGACCGTGTGAAGCATTGGTATACATGCAGCGATGATTTCACTGCATTCGCAGACGTGTGCTTTTTTTCGCGACTGGGACTTCACCCGTTTTTCATTAAGAGGGATAAAAGTTTAAAACGGTACAAACCAGTAGCTGATGGCGGCGAGTCGCCAACATCAGACAACCAGCACAACACAAACCTAACTACTGGAACTCAGACATAGGCACTACATATTCGCAGAATCTTGCGACCAGACTTGAGCAATTTCTCCAACAGGAGTGAAGCCACCAAGGACCCAATCCTGTCCTTCCCTGATTACTGCTTGCACAACTGAATGAACTGACGACGTCGGTCGCCCAAAAGTTCTGTTGTTCCTTTCCTTCCATAGTGACCAAGCGATCAGAAGCAACAGAGAGTCAAACAATGTCCTGGATGCACCGTCCAGCCTACGTCGTTGTTGCAGCCACCATTCAGCAATGTCGGCCTCGGAGTCTGGTGCTAGAACCAACAGATGTATAGGATGAAGCAAAGCGACCCATACTGCTCTGGAGAAGACACATCCGAGGATGAGATGCCTACATGTCTCAGGCGCCTGATCACACAGAGCGCACACATCGCTGTTCTGCAAGCCGTGCCTGGCTCGTCGTTCAGAGGTCCAGAGACGGCGATGCAGCACATACCAGAAGAAGAGTTTAACCCTGGGAGGCGCCCTGACCGCCCAAAGTTTCTTGGCGCCTACTAATTGAGATGCTCCATTGAAGAAGGCCTTGTACGTAGCAGATGCCGAGTAGCTCCCGTTGGACGACCATTTCCAGACGAAGTGATCAGGCTGCGATAGTTGAAGTACGACCGAGCGGAGTAGCAGCCAGAGACGCAGACAGTCACGTAGAACCTGTGCCGTAGTTGCCCCATTGATATCACGGGCCCAGCGGTGACCCTGAATTGCATCACATAGTAGGCGTTTTCTTCCTGCTCTGGGTGTCGCCTTGTAAAGAGCCGGTGCAAAGAGGTTTAGGGGGCCAACTGACGCCCAGTTGTCAGTCCAAAAAATCGTGCTGCTGCCATTTCCAATTTGAACTGAGATGCTTGCCCTACTCATAGCTTCAATTACCCTCTCCTTCCTTGCCGGCAGCCTTCCCCAGCAACTGTGCTGATCAACCCGTGATAGCCATTCCCAGCGAAGCCTGAGTGCGTAGCCAAAAAACCTGAGGTCCAGAACGCCCAGGCCTCCAAGTTCTTTAGGCCGGCACACAACCGGCCAAGCGACCTTGCACTTCCCACCTGAACAAGTCTCAGCACCCGCCCAGAGGAAGGCTCTACGCCTCTTGTCGATTTGCTTGATAGCCCACTCAGAGAGGCAACAGGCAATGCTAAGGTGTACTGGAATTGCTGACAAAGTAACCTTAGTGAGAAGAAGGCGGCCCGCGTTTGTCAAGAGCCCAGACTTCCAGGTCGGTATTCTGCCCGCGACTGCGTCGACAATCGGCTGTTCTTCCGCGTGCTTGAGCCTCCCCAGCGAGAGCGGGATTCCCAGATATTTGCACGGAAACGGAGAGATGACACACGGGAACGCATCCTGGACAGCTGCTACCATGTCGTCAGTACAACGGATGGGTGTCGCCACGCACTTATCCACATTGGTGATTAGCCCCGAAGCACCAGCAAACAAGTCTAGAATGTGGGCAATGCAATTGAAGTCCTGTGGCTTGGGTGACAGTAGAACGACCAGGTCATCTGCATACAAGGAGGCACGGTGCAAAATGGTGTTTCCCGGCAGGGGCGACAAGGCAGAGCGACGATCAGCCTCCTGTAACAGAGAATTGAGAACTTCCATCACAATAACAAAGAGCATCGGTGATATAGGATCAACCTGCCGTAGCCCACGGGCATGCGCGATCCGGCGACCCGGCCGACCATTGACTAGTACCCTTGTGCTTGCTGTTGAAAGCAGGATTGAGATCCAGTTTGTCCAGCGCCTAGAGAAACCGATATGCTGCAGAATTTCCAGAAGGAACGGCCAAGCGACAGAATCAAATGCCTTGGCTATGTCTACCTTTAGGAGAACCGATGGGAATTTTTTTGAATGCAACCAACGGCATGTAAGCTGTACCGCCCTGAAGTTATCGTGTACGACTCTGCCCTTAATGAATGCGCTCTGGTTGTTTGCGACAATTTGTTTCAGTTTTGGTGCAAGCCTTCTAGCCAAGCATTTGGCAAACAGTTTGCTGAAGCTGTGCATGAGCGAGATTGGACGGAAATCCTTGAGGCAATTTGGCGCCTGATTCTTCCTGAGCAAAACCATTAACGCATCATTGAGCAGGTGGAAACTCCTGGAATCCAAAGACCATAATGCGTTGAAAGCATTAACGACATCAGCCTTAATAATGGGCCAAGCGACTCTGTAGAATAGCCCTGTGAACCCATCAGGTCCCGGGGCGCGGTCAGGCGGGAGCTCCCTGATCGTTTCCCAGATCTCCTGCTCAGTGAAGCATACATCAATGCTGTTGAGTTCAAGCCTTGGCAGTAGGTTTGTCAGGTTTATAGAGTGCGCCCGCTGAAACGGTTTCCCAAGAATTTCATTGTAATAGTCATAGATGAGCTCGGATTTTGCTTCATTTTCTGAAAACCAGCTACCATTGTGCATGATTGACGGTATTTGATTCTTCCTGTTCCTGTGACAAGCCTGCAGGTGGAAGAACTTCGTATTGGCGTCACCTTCTTCAAGGAATCTGACTCTCGAACGTTGACGGGCAATTGTTCTTGACAGGGATGCCAAGCCTAGAGTGTGCTGCTTCATCAGCCGGCGAAGAGCAATCTCGACGTCATTCAGTTCCCTGTAGTCCTGAGCCGCATCTAGCTGAGCCACAATCTCTCTTGCCATGAACAACTGAGCCCTCACGCTGCCTATATTCTGCATGCTCCAGCTTTTCAGGTCCCTTGCCAGCTTGCGTAGCTTGAAGTCGAGCACTCTACACGCATCAGCCCCTGGTACCTGACAATCCCAAGATTGCTTGACAACATCTTCGAACCACTACTGGAAAATGCGAGTTTCCCTACCGTTTTTATTGTTCCCTACGGTTTTGATTAGTTCTACGGAATGAAATGTTTCCCTTAGGGTTGCTTTTTGGAACCGTAGGGAACCTGGTGTTTTCCTAGAAAGTTCATGATTTCGTCGGGAGCAAGAAGAGCTGTAGTCCTTCAGCTGGCTGGGCCAGCTCCTACGTGGAAAATTTCCCTAGGAGGTATATATAAAATCCTAGGGAACGAAAAATCGGAACCCTGTATGAAGGCGCCACTTCTCCCGCCGCCGCCCAGTCCAGGCCAGTTCTCCCGCGTCAATTCAGGCTAAGGCGCCAATTCTCCCGCCTGCCCATTCAGTTTTTTTTTTATGAATGGCCTCCTGAAAGGCAAAGCCCACAACAAAAAAAAAGGAAAAAAAAAAAAAAACCTGCGCGCCAGGCATCTTCTCCATCGTAGAAGCGTGATGATTTGCTGCCAAAGACGCTGTGCCGCCCCTGCCGCCTTGTAGCCAGTATGCCACCTGCTGCCTTGAGCCGGCCAGCCATTGCGAGCCTTGCCGCTTGGCCCGCCAGTGCGGTGGCTGCCCGCCCGGCGCCCGGCGCCCGGCCGCCGCCGCCCTTCCCGGGACGTCGGCCTCCCCAACCCGCACCCTCCTCGAGTGCCTCCCTCCCCAAGCCGCGCCCTTCCCAAGCCGCCGTCCGCCCTCCCCAACCTCTTTGCCCTCCCAAAGCCCCCTACTCTCGCACCCTGCTTTGTCCCCTCACATCTCCACCTTAAGCCCTCCCCAATCCCCATCACAAGCTTTCACTCCAATCACCCATTCTCGTCTGCTGCCTCCCATTCCTTCCCTCCATGTCCTGCTGTTTAGATCTGTGGAAGCATGAGAGGTAAGGTATTTTCTCGGGATTTCTAGTGCATTCTTGTGTGGACAGCAGAAGAAGATTCACAAAGAATTGATATTGATGTATTATATTCAGTCTTCCCATTCCATAGTGGAGGCACCCTTCTCTTTGCTTGGTGCTTTGGAGCCAAGGAGGAGTCAAGGAGTAAGGCGGTGTTGCCCGAAGCTCTGTTGTGAAGAAGGAAGGCACCACATCAGAGAAAGAAGGCTTCACGATCGCTTGTCACTCTTGAACAAAGGATTTAATGTGAGAAGGAAAATTTTCTTTTTCTTGCTGCTTTTTTTGTATTGTTAGCAAAATTGGCATGTCTAAAATATTTGATACGGTCTGTTCATTTCTGAAAAATTAGAAACTAAGAAGCTTAGCACTATGATAATTTTGGTGTTGCAATCTATTAGGTGAATATTCTTTTTAAGTGAGTTGTCTCTTTGGGTTGGAGAATAGTCAATATTGTGACTCATCGATGCGAGTCTAGAAATTTTGTTACTAGTAATTATCGGTATATATGTTCTATATAAACTTGTTTGTCTATTAGTTTTAGAATACATGCACTAAATCATGTGAGTTACTTGCAAATTTTTACATTTGAGTTCATTGTCACAACAATAGCCATGTCAGTAGAAGATCGTAGTTGGATGTATGACAGCTGGAATGACAATGGTCGTCATTCCTCGGATTGGGTGCGAAATACAAATGCTTTCCTAGACCAGGCTTTCAATTCGGTTTCTAATTCTGAAAAACTTGGAGTAGTGTGTCCGTGTTTGATTGTCTTAATAGAGTTAGAGCGGAGAAGAGGCGTCATGAGCATGCATTTGTGTAAAAGAGGGTTTATGCCTGGCTATTTTACATGGACTGAACATGGTCAGAGGCCTATTAGTCAGCCTACAATGGATTATGCGTACGATACTGCCGATGGTTTAGATCAAATGTTAGCTGATTGGGGTGATGCAATGCAAA